ATGACCTTCCTTCTTCATTTCCTGTTTCTGTCTCTTTCCCCTTAACCACTGTGGCTTTGTACTTAGGGTACAAAGATTGCTATTTTATGAATAATATTTTACTTGACCACATTTTAAGTGATATGAATTCAATTTATATCACAATCAACTTCTGAATAGTCCGGTTTAAACTACCCTTCCATTTGTGTGTCCTCTAAATGGCCTTTTCCTGGTTCTTAGGTGTTCTTCACCCTCTTAGACAATTTCAGTTGATTAGAATAACTTTTACATTGCTCTGCAGTCAAATATTTTCAGGAACTTTGTGATAGACAAATTTCTGTTTATTTCGAAGTTCTATTTTATACAAGTTTTTACTGTAAAAGATAATGAGAGCTTTGAATAAGAGGCAATGTTCTGTGATGGTTATTGATGAAGTATACTCCAAACTTATTTAATTGTTCCAAGTGTGAGGAACTGTTGAAATTGTACATATTTTGTTCTAAAGATAATAAGCTAGGTGACAGTGAGAGCTGTTGGGTTGAGCTAGTCATATTTAAGTGATGTGTGTGGGTGTGCATGTGTATGCAGAGAATGTTTTATATTATATTTATACATAAAAGTTGTACTACAGCAGCACTAAACCTTACATAAAGCTAAAGCTCTTCAATCACTGAGCAGATTTGTATATTAGTAACCCTTTAGGCTTATGTTTGGAAGATAAACATTTAAAATGTGATGAGTTACTAACTATGGTTGTCTGTTTGTGGATTTCCTCAAGTTTCTCCAGACAATTGCCAAAGACAGTGCCTTGAAATAGGTCATGATTTCTTTCTTCCAAATCCTAACCCACTTATCATTTATATACATTTTCTGATCATATTCAATGATGTATTTTCCAGTTGAAACAGCATTATTAAACAACCTAAGAAACATTTTATAAAGAATGAGCAAAGTCCAAACTCATTGACTCAGACTGTGTACACAACTTTTGAATATGTCTTAGTTGATTCTGAATAGGCAGTTCTTGACAGGGTTTTAATCAACACCCGCAACTTTCGTTCCTTGGTTTATTAAGCAGTTTCTGAACTGCACAGACTATAGGATCAAATGGCAGTGGTTATGGATGTGGAAGAATGTGGAAGCAAGCAGTCGTCTCTTTATGATACTCATCATTTGCTTGGAAGACAAGAGAAAAACTTCAGTCAGGATTGCCTGTTTGGACCTCTCATTCAATGTTTAGTCCCAGAGGATCTGATATTAAGAACTATTAACAGTGTAAAACATGCTTGGTTTTACTGTTGCAAAATTAATTGTTTGTCGTGTATAGTATGATGTAGTATATGAATGTGTTGCTCATAGTTCTCCACATGAACTGTACTCTGTGCTAGCACTATATTGTGATTTATTATCAGAGCTCGAAAACATTACTTGCTGTTGGTTAATTTCACTTCTTGGCTAAGAATGACGAATAATATAGCCATTAATAAATTTGAGTTTGATTTTACACAAAACATCACTTTTAACCCTTTCACTGTTGAAGAGTAAATTACCATCCAGCTCTGTTGACCAGTATTCACTTGATTCAGAATTTTTACAATAAAATGTTTTATCCTTGTATATGTATATATGTGTGTGTGTGTGTGTGTGTGTGTTTACCTTCAGAACTGATTTGGTATCAAAACCATTTGTAATTTCCATTTTTAGTGTGTAATTTCTGTATGTACAATGTTGGTGTTAAGTAGCCTGTATACTGTACATGGTGGAACAGTTTCATTTGTTACACAATGTTGGGATTTGTGCATTAGAACAGAACCATACACATGCAAAGTTTGTTTTTCTGCCATAATACACAGTATACATTTCTGCTTAGCAGAACATTTCGATCTATAATGCAGAACATACCTCTCTTTGTTCCATTCCTAATAATACTTTTCTGCACAATGGTACTCTTTTGTCTGTAATGTGCAGTGTAACTTTTGTCCTGTAAATGCTTTTCTGTGCAGCAGAACTGACATGTCTATAACAGTGAAGGGGTTGTTCCACTGTGCAGTGGTATGTGGGTTACCAAATAATGTTTTAGTAAATTTATGAGCTGATCATTGTCTGAAATTTACCACATTTTCACATTAATGATGCTTGTTCTTGACAGTGAACAGTCTACACAACTGTGTTGTAGAATATAATTTGATTACTAAAAACCATTCACTCGCTGATGGGAAACTGTCCACTGCCAGTTTCCCATCAGTGAGTGCGCAACAAAGGATCAGATTTGTTACCCAGCAGCCCTGAGGATGAGAGCAGATTGTTCTCGAAACATTGGCAGAAGGTATGGTTTATTCACCGTTCAGCCACCTGATGTGGCTTGTAACCTGAGAATCTTTCATCAACTTCAGTCATTGCGAAAGCTTCACTTTATACATAGTTTTTAACATGTTAGTGTCAGGTTTAACCATTCAGAACTGAAGCTAGCCACCACTATGTTATATGAGGATCTTGGGTTTTAAGGGAGAATAGTAACCATATCAGTGACATCATAAAGGAGCAGAATAAACTGAATTTATTCTGTGGAGTTAAGTCAATTGCAGGATTTTCATTTTATCTCCACACTACATGGGGGAGATGATTATAAATTTTGCTGCTCAACATTAACATTTCAGATTATTTCTGAAAAGTGGTAAACCTTAATAAGTTAAACACGGTCATCAGTGTGTTTAAAGATGATGCCATTACTTTTCCTTTAAACTTTGTGCATTCAAACTTTGACCTTTGGTCTTCTTACTTTATTAACTTAAGTTTATCTACCTTGAAATTCCAGTCTTACAAATAATTAGGTAAAAAACAGATTCTGCCTTGATCTTTGCAGTATCTTACTGATCAATTACTCAAGTTCTTATGCTAAAGCTTTGCTCAGCCGTGATTTCTGTCATTCCCTTCATTGTGTCATTTTTCCTTAACACCTCAAGTGATATATTTTACAAAGTTGGTTTTAATGAGATTTTATTTCATATACCAATATTTTGTGTAATGAACTGTTTCTTTTACAAATTGTTAAAATTTGAGCTTCAAGTATATAGAATCAGTAGGAAACAAAAAGTCTCTTGGGGTACATCCCGAGTACTTGATTTAATAAAAATCAATTGTGCAATTCCACAGTAAAGTGTAGATGGACAAATATGACTTCCCCATTATGCGTACAATTTATTCACTGCAATGATCATTCAAATAATATCACCCTCTTTACTCATGGTTAACTTTTGTGTATTGGTTAACCAACACCTAAGAGTCTTTTCAAATTTTGGGTTTATCCATGTAATTTGATTTGTAGTTTGTTGATTGTCATATTCCTAAGTATTATGTTTTTTAAGGCTTAAGTGAAGTATAAGGAAAAGGTAGTTTTACTTCAAAAGTGTTATACTTGCACATTCATTACATACTGTTGACACATGAAACAGTAGCCAGTGTCAGTGTAATGATTACCAGACACCTGAAGATGGGAATAGAAGCAATTCCTTAAACATATGACTGCACTATGAAGTGGTGCTTATGCCCAATGTACTTGATGAACTCTTGAGTTTGGTTGTCATCACTGTCAGTGAACCATGTAAATGAATTGGAATGCCCATAAACCATTACATTGTTTTCCTGCCATAATAACACATGATTTGGATGTGAAAACTATTATTAATCTTTGTATCCCTTTGCCTCAAGTACAAAAACAACTGCTGCTGGATATAAATATTTTAAATAAAGCTTTTATGCATTGTGTTCAATATAACTGTGAATCGTAACTCTTGACAGTGCCTTAATTTATTGAAGTGCTGTTCTACACTTATTGTCTAGCAAAAATAAATTAACAGCAGTTTTATTCTGTGTTTTCACCAGCTTCCACTACATCTTCTAGGGGTATCTCATGTGCCACATATGATGTATAAACATCATAGCCAAGTGAAATTGTGTTGTCATACAGCACACGAAATCTTGTAGGCAGAACATAGAAATTAATTACTTGTGCTGGTGGCCACAGCACCCAATCTGCAACATATAAACGCCAACCTTTTTGTTTCATTTCCTTCACAAATGTCTCTACGTTTGACCTTTCAAGGCATGCTAGTGTTGCAAATAATATTGTGATACAAAATGGTGAGGTTACAAGTTGGTCCACCAATACCTTTTTTAACACAGTCTTTAGAGTTCTGCCTGGAAAGAATCTGTCAAGCCATTTGTAGGTGTGGTGACAGAATATTCCTATTGTCATGCCAGTAGCGGACATGTGTAATGTTCTTGTACAGTTCCATTTCTCATGGTCCCCTTGTAATAACTCATAATGTTGTTGAAGAACGTCTCCAACTCCAGACAGAGTTAGCGATATCCCTACATTTGTTAAAAAAAGATGCTTGTTGAACAAAATGTGGCTTACTGCACGGCACTTTTGAATCACTTCAGATTTAAAGACACGAGCCACTGTAAATCCAACATATTGCATTCTTGATGAATCACTGGTATCAGCTACCTAAAAAGGGTAAAAGGGCCATATTAGTAACAATGTTCTGTGACTGCAATCCAAGAATAAGTAAATAATACCGAATATATGTGGTTTTAGAAAATTGTGATTTTCTAATTTGCTCGAAAGCGTTTAAAATTGCCAGCATGAATTAAGGGTTACCTATTGTGTGCTATATCCATTCGAATTCTTAAGCGTACAATATATCCCACCTGTTTTTTCCGCTTAGTTACCACGCACGCAGAACTTGTGGTTAACGTTCATAACCTTGACTACAAAATAGGTTAAAGGCGAATGTCGAATACTGTATCGGTTACGAAATGAATGCACAAACATTTTGAGAAATTTCCTGTTGAGCTATTGGCACCATTTCATGCCATGTTGACATAAGAAATAGTATGTTGTATGGTTATTGCTAGTTGTCACAGTGTAAGACAGCTCACTTCGTTTCAGAAATACAAAATTCATGTAATTGTTGTGATGTTGATACTTTTACCATTATTTCTTTGGGCCAAACTTAGCTACGTCCGAGTGATATTTTGGCTAAAGCTAAGAACGAATATGAGACGAAATGACGTTTGTAGTTTGTTGACATTAATCAGTGGTGCGTGGTATAAATGCCCACTAAGTAAAGCTTTAAGTGTTCGTTTCTTTTTTTCTTTTTTGAACATAAGAGCAGGATGTGAAGCATTGTCGGCAGGTCGAAGAAATGGAAGGTGCGAGACTACAAAATTAATATGGTGAGTAGCTTAATGTACTAGAATATAGTGCAGTTTCGGATGAAAATTCTTTACGAATTTATTCGGCAATTGGTATGTTCTATATATGATGTAGAAATGTTTCTCTCGTTTTACAGCTTCCAGTTTTATCTTGCATCGTCTTTGATTTGGTGGTACAAGGGTTGCCAAGAACATTGTGCTCCCTCAGCCCGAATCTTGTATATGCTCATAATGTTTACTTGTATGTGAACTCTTTTACAGTGGACATCTTCTTTCCTGTCTTACCATTAAATACAATTTTCAGTCTTAATTCTTAAGGCCTCTTGCTTACACTCCATGTTTTAGACCAGTAGCCCATATTTTCCGGATCTATGACATTTTCTCCTATGCATTTTGTTTATGGCTTTTATACAAATATAACAATGTCTATAAACAGACACAACAATTCCAGACACAATAATGTCTATAAACAAATACAACAATGTCAATAAACATACACAATGCCAGACACAACAATGTCTATAAACGAGTACAATAATGCCAAACGCAACACGTCACACTATGTTACCTAGGAAACGTCATCCGTTTACTCGTCATTGTTGTGTTACATTACTGCCGTCAACAATCCGCTTTCGTTATTGCGGAAAGAGCTGAGCTGTGAATCGCTTGTAGAAGAAGTGCATCGTGGACTAGGTAATTTTGTGCTGGTAAAAACGTTTTACAATATCACAAGTACTTATGTTGATGTCAAATCCTGAATGTAGTACTACTAGATCAAAATCTTGTATAGATATGGTGTTTGCACGAAATGTTGATACTCTTAAAGTGCACAAATTTTATAACATATTTCAGCTACCACAGACCCATCTTAAGCGTAACTAATTCAAGTTAAATAAGCAGTGTCTTAATCAAACTTTACTCAATTGTAAAGCATGTATAAAGTAAATATTTAGAATAAAGCCAATATATAAACTTCCTTTCCGTATAGACATATTTACGTCAAATTCTCCGGAACCATGGTTCCACTATCAATTTTTTGTTAGGTGAAGGTTCTAACTACTATTTCAAACCCTTTGCTGGTTCAGCCAGTTTACATTCTCACAGTTTATTTATTGTGGAGGATGAATCTGACATTGAGTCTAAACAAATTAAATCTTCATTGCTTCCGTTTTGTTCATTCCAGAGGTCGATTTAATTTCCTGTCAGTAGTGCCTCCAAGGGGTTCATAAATCACCATATTAAGGATTGCTATTCAGGTGCAGCAAATTTTGTGGACAATCATTACTAGATGGGCTCTGTAGACGAGCAAAATTTCAGGTGAAGTTTCGACATGACCAACCGGACCATTCCCTTGTTAGTCGCTGTGAAAGCTTCAGCTCATACAATCCTGTGCATACCTTTGAACTATCACAGCTGTGCAGTAGTTTTCAATAGGACCAGTGTTTATTAACATTTTTAACTTGATATTGTCTCTCAAATCACCCACTGATGTTTGGCAGACCAGGTGTGAAACATTCTATATATTTTTCTTAGTGTGTGTAATAATAGTGAAGAGCAGAAGCCTTGGTATTGTTTAATCACTCAGAAACCTGTATAATTTTCACTTCCTGTAAATTTCAGTATCAGTTAATAGTGAATTGTTGCATGCAAATTCAATGTATAGTTTTTAATTAGGGAAGAGTTCATCATAGTCCCAATTATTATTTTAGTGAAGAACTGTATGTCCATGTGTCATCTCATACTGAACAAGTTTTATGTCGTTTCAGTTTTGTTTATGCATGTCATTTATAATTCCTTCTACTGAATGCACCTGTTAATTGTACACTGTATACTCTTTTGAGTCTTCATTACATTTATTGCAGAACTAGATTAACACATCTGCAGTTCTGGCTTGGTGTTCATCCACTGGAGCTAGATTGCATGGAACAGAATTTTATTGCTTGCTTGAGCTAATGCGGAAATTTACTGTTGACATTTATAAGAATGTGTTAACAAATTTTACATGAGATTCCATTTATCTACTTTTTTTACATTTTTATCTAGTAATATGCAATGTGTATATGTGTGGAAATCAACTAGACATGGGTCATTTTGCACATATTATGTATATGTATTTGCTTAGTATATTTTTATTGTAAAAAGGAAATGCATATGACTGTCTTACAATTGTTATCTGAGCATATACTATCATTTTTATTACTAAAATAAGATTCAGACAAACCTCCCATAAAATTTCTGTACATCTTTACAGTACAGTGACCAGTTCTGTTAAGAGGGTTAACCCTTTTTCTGAAACACTGAGCATTTAAATCCCACTACAGTCAATGAAAAGTTGAAAAAAATTTAGCTCCATATAGAAGGACTTTACCTGTGTTTTCAAAGTTCTCACAGTTCAGACATCAGTATTTTTCTGAAAAGAAACCCCATACTTCTGTTGTGATCTCACACCAAGGCCAGGAAATGGTTGACTGTCTTGTGATTTCAGGTTGAGGTCAGCACAAATAGTTACAGAAGTCTATATATGCTATACATAAAAACAAACCCTCTAACAGATATGTGGAAGAAAAATAGCTTTGAATAATATACATTAATGTCTTTTTCTTCCTCCTCCTCCTCATCATTTCCACACCTGTGGGTCAACTTTTTCACACCATCTCCAGCTGTCTTGATCTGCCCATTCTTGCATTTCATCAACCCTCCTCTAGTTTAATCTTCTCCCCTCTACATCACTCTGAACTTTGTCTACCCATCATATGTGTGGTCTGCCCCTTGGTCTTCTTCCACTCGCCTTCATTTTCAATAATCTTTTTGGTATTCTATGCTCATCTATTCTTTTAAAATGCCCAACCATCACTGTCTACTTTCCAGGATTTGGGTCTGTATTTCCTCAATTCTGAGCTTCAAAGGGAAGGGAACCCTGGTACCCATTGAACAAATGGCTGGGTGGGTCCCAGAGCCAAAGTCTAGAATAAAAACCCCTGGGGATCAAACCTTGGTCATCTACGCCATAGACACAAAACCGACTGAATTACCCCAGCTCCATTTCATATAATAGTATGTTTTAAAATACACAATGAATGCTGTAATTTTACATTTTCTGTCTGTCTTTATTCTACACTAAATTCTTAGATAAATTATATAATGTTGAATCCCTTCCAATTACTTTATATCTCATACTGTATCTTACCATTATTCTACACACACTTCCAAAGTAAACAAATTTATCTGCTGTTATCTCTTTTTCATTTGGTTTCATTACTTTGTTCTTTCCTACTTGTGTTGAGAGTTTTAATATTACCATCTTTTCTAGATTTATTTGCAGTCCTCATGCCTTGCTTACTTTTTCCCAGTGGGTTAGTCTTTTCTCAAATTCATTCACATCATCACCCCATATATTATGATATCATCTACATATATAAAAGCTTAATACATTTGTTCTGCCAGCTGTTAATAGAATATGAAATCAGAAATATACTGGCCACTGTACTGTAAATTGTTCCAAAATCATACACAATATAGTGTATCCTTACAACTTAAAAGGTTTCAGCTTCTCCAGGTACAATTCATGATTTTCCATAGTAGTCAAAAGACCCTTTTTATTCACAATATCTTCAGAAGAGTAATCCAAAACTTCATTTGAAAGTGTTGTCATTTTTCCACCAAGGGCCTTAATGATTGCATTACCAGCACAAATGTCCCACTTCTTGATTTCTGTCACATGAAGATAGGCGTCGACATGTCTTCTTGCCACCTCCAGTGACTTATAACCTAGAAAGGAAAGAACCAGGAATAAGTTGTATATACAATACAGGCTCTTCCTTGAGCTGTTTGTAATTATTTGGCTTATCTAGATATTCCCTGTTGTTGTGGAAACCAAATAAATGTAAATCACCATCTTCCCAGCCTATTTTTCTGTGATACATTTTAATATTGCATGAACACCCAGGCCTCTGAAGTAATATCACTGCAGAACCAAAACTGTTGTATGCATTTTATATTTCCTCTTGCAACATTCATATCATACTCACTAAAGATATGTGTAAAGCTCATCATTATATAATTTTCTCAAATCTCCTATTATACCCTGGCAAACTGGCAGTACCACAGATTTTATTCTCTGAAGATATTACACAATAGATACATACCTGCCCCTGCTGCAGAAACAGTGGTGATGCTTTTTCCAAATGCTTGTTCAGAAATATTCTTAACCAAGCCTGGGTGGGATATTGACATAATTATGCTTGTAGTTGAATGTCTATCAGCCTGAAACACATGTAAATAAGATGACTTGTCATGCCTGATTTTGAGGCAGACCTAACCATTTCTAAAAAAGCGTCCTTTATTTTACACCTTTTAATACAAACTTATTTTACCTCAAAAATGTGTGCAAAGTTTTGTAATTACCAGACTACATGGCGCAACAACCCATAAGATAGCCATCTTCAGGCTCACAGCCGTGAAAACCTCAAATCCTACATTTTGTACTTGTATTTATTTTGTGTAAATACTGGACGTCTGAAAAGTTGGGATTTTTTCCTGCATGAAGTATCAGGTATGAGGCTGCCACCTGCCCTCTCAGCCCAAAGAAGTGTCAGACTATGGGATAAAACCCAACTAGCAACAAATATTGTGAAAAATGTGATGTAATGTGAAAGCAGGGTTTGAGGTTTTTACAGCAAGTGAGTACAAAGATGGCTGTCTTCTAGTTTGTAGTGCCATATAGTCTGGTAGACATTTACCAATGTTTCAGAGATCCTTGAGCCTCCATCATCAGGGAAATGAGTAAGCCACACACAAGGTATCAGTTTGAGATATAGAAACCAGTCAGTCAAGGCAGAACCTTGACTGGACCAGTGGGGAATAAGATCAGGATTTGGAGAGGGCATGGGATCCAATATGAGAAGGAGGCATACCACACAGTATGCAAGAGAAAGCAATATTAAAGGAAGTGGCATGTAATAAGAGCTCCTTGAGGTCTGGCTGGGAGAGACAAAGGAAAACCTAAATCAGGGTAGGTGGTGCCAGGATCAAGATTCAAATCAGTATCTTCACAATATGTTTTATTTCCACTAGTATTCAAATATCTCATGTATACTGTTACCACAGTAGATAAATGGAACTGAGGAAAGTATAAAGTCCATCCAGTAGCTGAATGCTATTTTTGTATTTTTCAACCTGTTTCTAAAATCCAATTGGCAAGCCATTCTCTGTTTTTTTCTCTTCCATTCTTCTATCACCTACTAAAATTTCTTCACAGTTTTGACATTTACTGTAGATTTAACAGTATAACAGCAAATTTATAAACATTTATTACAGTTATGTAAAATATATATATATATATATATATATATATTGGCGCCGTCAGATTCCCACCGGGCAGGTACGACTTCAACGCTATACACACAGAGGTAAACTAGATGCCGATTCAAAATCCAGTACCTACGCTTTGCCTGCACAGTCTATTAATGAGTTTCCTATTCTCATCTCAGAATAAACAGCGATTCGTCCCCGAAACAACAATAACCGACTAACCTTTGTAATGGAGACGCTTTGTTTTTTTATGGGGCAGGAGATGAGTTTTTTTAAACACTGTTCAGATGATCTTCGTCCATAAATCCACAGATCAGTATTTTTGCTGGACAACGTAACTCTTGAACAGGCCTTTGGGTACTCGGGTTTCTCATTCCAATAATCTTTCCACCATAGTCCATACTAATCCATCGCCACCAGATCATCAGATGCTGTATAATAAGACCCATCTGGGACCATAATGACAAGAGACTCAGTTTCACTCCACTCCTGTCATTACAGCCCTTCACAGGCCCTATACAGACCTACATTCTATGTCTATAGGACCTATTGGAGTATGTGACTTGTTAGATAAACGCCCTGTCTGGCCGATACAGACTCAGAAGTTCATCTGATAGAAATTCAGCACTAAACTGTCACTACGTAAGAAAAAGACTAGATAAAAGCGATCGATGGCTGTCAAATTATAATACCAACTCTTTCTGTGTAAAGTTTGACACTAGCACGCACAATTCCGGTCCGCAGACATTAAGCAAGAATAAAGGTGGAAAGATTTTCGGCTCTCTTTTGTGATATGGCCGCATGCGGGATGTGGTATCGTGAGTGGGAATAAAAAAACAGACGGCATTTCAATCCAAAATGTATTTTATTTCTGTATGTCTGTCAGTCTGAAGGGGAATTATAGAGGACACCTGCAGAGACCATGCCACTTCTAGCATTTTGTTATGCGGCTAGCCTTATAAATGATGCGAAACTATTGTCAGTTTCAAGCACTCTACAGTATCCGCGGACAGTGCACTGTACTGCCATCTATCGTCTTTGTGACTTGTTTGGTCGAACACACGAACCTTTTGTACCGAAGAATAAAACCAGAATTATATTTTTTTTTTTTATTTCAACACAACAGATGAGTTGTTGTAACAGAAGGTTCATGAAATGTCAGAATTAATGACGATACACTAATACAGGTAAAGCTTCGCCCATTCTCGACCTCGGCAAAAGATAAAGGTAAGTGGCAAACTTCAGGCTCCGGCTGCTTTATTACCGGAAATAAAGCCTCCGGTAAGCACTGTGTGAGTTCGACGACGTTACTTCATATTAGCTATTTTTATTTTCCTTAAAGTTATAAGTTAGGTCTCTTTAGGTTGGTTTCTATTGGATTAGTTTAAGATGTTCAGTTGATTTTGTTAAGATTCTGAACTATGTTACGCTACGTAGGATTTGAGGTTTTCATGGTGGTGAGTCCGAAGACGTCTGTCTTCTGGGTTTTAGTGTCGTGTAGTCATATACGTTTAACGACGTTTTTATGGAATATATATTGGAGTTTTTAACAAATTTTTTTCGACATTCCAATTTTTATGAAAATACGACAACAGTTACAATTATCTGTATTTTACAAAGGTATAAAAGGTGTAAGTAAATTACGTCTGTCTTAGGAGCGAAATCGTAATGATTAGGCCATCCTTAAAAATTGACAGCAATCGATTCGCATCCTGTCGTGAACTGCATGCGTGATCAACTTCTCTTACATAAATTCCGCAACTCGGTATCATTCATTACTACGCTTAAAGGAACGAGCTATTTTGTAGATAATCATACGGAAATAATTTTGTGACAAGTAACAGAAGTTCTGTGGTTTCATTAAAGTATTATTTAACAAAGCTAGATCAATTGGCTATGCTAAGTTCTACCAAATGGCTTGATATCATGAATGATGAACTGAGATGGATATAAGAGGAAGCCATTATGGCCTGTTTTAAGGTTTTGTCCAAGAATTGCTTGAGAGACTGAGAAAAACTACAAAAACCTCATCTAAGATAGCCTGTCTGTAGGCCAAGATGAACCTGGGCCACTTTGAATACAAATCAGGAGTGCCAACAACCATGATACTTCAATTAGTTACTTTTTTCTTTCTTTCTTTTTTACTTACTTTTACCCTCCCTCAAAATCAGTACATACATGACAGAAAAAACTGTTTGTTGGTACTCTTGGTACAACAAAAAAAGCTAGGTATATAATTCTCATGTTAAACTGGCTCCCTTTCCAACTGCATGCTTTATGGCAACAAATTGTCATCAAATGATAATGCATGAAACAAATCGAGTATCTGATATACCTTGTTATTTTTCAGGTTATCAGATGCACTTTTGCCTTCCCATGCCCAAAATGTGTGTGGTTCTCCTTCAAATGGTTTATGAATAACTCCAATAATTGGATTTCCCTTAACAGCAACACACACCATTGTTGTAACATATTGCAGTTTATTTTCTGTAAGAAAGGCTCGGAATTAAAAATACAAATTGTGCAAAATATTTCAAGCTGTTTAACCTTTCAAGGGCTTAAGATCAATAGAAAGACAAATTTCCATCTCTTGTTACATATTCATGCAGAGAAGGCTGTTCATTTGTACTTTTCATCTTGTCTTCACAAAGAGGCAAGTGTAGCCCCATAAATAGAATGGCATCTTTAATATGACCTCACAGTATTTAAAAAATAAAGTTTTGCAAATAAAAATAGCATATGAAACCTCACTCTTAAAATGTCCATGTTTTCAGTTCACACAAAATGCTGTATCAACATTCTACACAGCAACAACAGCTCAAGTACAATACACCTATTTCAGAAGTAGTAAGAAATAAAATCTAGCCTACTTAAAATTCACCTGTGAATTCTTTTGTAGCATCCAAAGGATCAATCCATACAGTGATGTCCTCTGCTTGCACAAGCTCATCATTCAATGGATTAAGATTATGAACACCATCTGAATCATCCCCAAGATAGGATAAATTTTTGCAGTCAGATTGTTTTATATTTTCTTCTGAAATTATCTGTGACAATAAAGGAAGTTTATTTTCTAACATTTGATCAGTTTCTGACAGATTTTTAAAGCATATTACTGATTACAGTGCAGAATATGGTTTGGACTGCACATCATATTAGATACTAGTGTTCCTCCCTGATTAGGTTTAGTTGAGATTAGTTTCCAATGATGCCAATTTCTGGTGTCATGAGTTATGTAGCCTTGTAGGTGGCTACACAGAAAACCAGTCAAAAATTTCCTGTTAAAACCTCAAATTTTATGTAGATCTGAACAGCTTAGCTATGGAGTACAGACCATATTCTGTGCTATTACGAACTTCACTTACTTTGACTTTTGGAAATGAATGAATGAGGCTGTAGTACATAACACAATGGGAATTGTAGTCTGCTTTTGTCACTGGATCGTTTATTCCTTTTGTATTACCTTTGCTTTTCTCACCAATATTAGGTGCATTTCTTACTGCAACAATTTCCTTTCCTCCTTTTACAGCAACTTCAATGGCAGCAACTAATAGTTTTTTTAGACTTACGAAGCCATTATTTTTCCCTGGTTCTGTTTTAGGGCTTTCCATGCCACTAGAGTTTATATACAGCACCAATATGATGCATGCTCCTATTATAATGCAGATGCCAATTCGATTGAGACGTATCGTACCGCCAAAATTCATATTCGCAATTCTCATTTACAGCAAAATTGTATTACTGAATTATCAACATTTACTATAACATAAATAATTTTTGGGTTGTCAAACCAAATGTGTCCCTGTGACACAGTCGCCAGCGACTTACGTTTGTTTTAAATTACAGTAAATATAGCTACCTTGGCACGGTTTACTACCTGTAGGAGCTCTGTAATGTCCAGCAATGTTCAGAGCGAAAGGCACCTTATTTTGTAATTTAAATACAAACTTTTATTATACCAGCCATCTTTCAAGTCTTTACGATTCTCATTATTCCTTTGTTTCAAGGTGCTGCCAGCTGGCCGGCAAGAAAATTATGGCGTCGATGTCACCTTCTGAGGTGAGTGAGAATTCTATTCTTTAGATTAGCTTTGACTTGCTTTCTTTGCATATTTATAACTAATAGTGGATTTATAGCATTGTATGGTATTATTTAAAAATGCTTGTTTGAAGAATAATAGATGATGCTTCCAGATGCACAGCGACTTTTTCGCCGTCTAATATTTCTGAAGGAAACTTGTGTTTACAAAAAGTATGGCAAAGAAGTGGAAAGTGAGGTTATATATCTGAGCTTTGATTTATTGCTGTTTTGGAATTAGAATTCGATGGTTCTGAGTGTTGAGTATGCATTATGCAAGCCTTCATGCCCGTTCGTTGTTTTAAAAGTTGTGTGGAATGTCATTAGTTTAACTTCATAACAATTTTAAATTGTAACCAAACTACTGAGTATCCGAAATAAAATTTCCAGGTCTAAATCCAAAATTTTTCTGAGATGTTGGTGCTTTTTTTTTATAAAGTAGTGCTACCATATAAATATTTGTTTTATGAACTACTAGGTTATGTTTCAGCATAGTAGTTTGTTTAACAGTTTTGATTTAATGTCATTTATAATTATCTTCGAGGGGTCTGTCTGCAGAATGACTATTATGACAGCTCTATGAGTTCCTCCAGGAAAATGGCAGGGTAGCATGTAACAACTCCTTCCATGTCATGAATGAGATTTGAGGTTTTCACAGCAGTGATGTCATTGATGGTCTTCTAGGGTGTAAGATCCTAGCATTTGTATCTGGTCTTTCCCAGTCTTCACATTTGGATGTTTTGTGGAACAAACTGTGTTACACATCAGGTAAATGCAATCAGACCTTGATACATGGCATCTTTTGCAGCTATTCTTACATCTCAGGCTATATTGCCAGCACAATCATCTCATATCTTTATCTGATTGCAGTTCAGACAATCCTTTGTTTAGAGTTTTTAAAGGTGATGCAGATACATTGATCTTAATTTTTTCTTTATTATTTGAAGTATATAATGCTTACTTCATTATACATGAGCTTCTCAAAGCATTAGAATACTGCTGCAACACATTCCCTGGCCCCAACAGTATCCAAAACAAAATGCTGACTCATCTCCCACCTACAGGCAAGGAGTTTCTGCTGTCCATCTACAGTCATGTAAGGACAGACAACTTGGCACTAGCTTGAGGGAGCAGTGCACTTTTGAAGTCTAGTAAAGACTAATGCCTAGCAATTAGTTACAGGCCCATCAGTCTCACAAGTTATGTGTGTAAGACCACATAGAACATGGTAAACAATCGCATCATCTTGGTCCTGGAGAGAAGAAATCTTTGAAATGTGCAGTGTGATTTTTGATGCTTCAGATATACCCTTGACCATTTGATAACTAGTTGCAAAACAAATTTATTTTGGCATAAAAATCTTGGCTGTAGACAGGATGTTTCCCTACTCATTTTCTGCTCCACCAAAATTTTTGATGCCAGTGATATACATACTTCATTTCATTGCGGATAAATGAATAAGACATGGAAGTATCTCTGCACCAGTGTTATGCGACTGGTATGTCATGAAAAACTGGTGTTCTACCATATGGTTTCAGATGTTCTGTGAATTGTTATAGCAAATTGCATATTCACACATTGTAGTTAGAAAGAGGCAATTTGTATCTTTCATCAGTAGTTTTACCCAACATGCATAATGTTTCATTTTCAGATGCCTGCATCATACAGGGCAGGTATTTAAATGTAGATACATGTTTGTGGCCATATATAGTTCCATACCCCCTTTTTATAAGGCAAGATTTTGTGGTGTGCTGCCATGTGTCTTTGACAAATCACTGTGTGCTGTGGATGAAAAAATGTTGTGGAATGCACTCCACTCTGATACATGACATGGCACAACTTCAGTTCTTGTGACATTCTTACAGCGACGCCTACAGAAAGAGCTGATGTCTTTGATGAAAGAACCTCCACCAGGTGTCACTGTAGATGCTGAAGGTGCCGGACAAAACCTTACACAGTAAGTAGTACCAACTCAGGAGCACAATGCATACATTTGTATTTTTCTATCATTTCTACATTAACTTAATTTTTCTTGGAATTTTACAACTCTCATAACTTTGCTATTCACATGATTAGAGAGTTCTGCAAACTGATATGGTTATCAGTATTGACATTCTGGAGGCAGATAGAACATGAAGGTCATTCAGTGTTGGATCTAGAAATTTTGTGATGATGATGGTACCTTGGAAAAATATTTTTCTTTTATTAAGTTAAAATTTTAGCAAAATGGAAAACACAGAATATTTTGGTCTGTTAGTGATAGCTTTGTCATATTTGTATAATGGCATATTACAAACATATCTACTGATGGTAGAGTAATATTAAAATGTACAAGGCCTGATTATTCAGATTATAAATGAACCATGCTACTGGTGTTTGTGTTTTGTGAACAGCTTATTGTTTGTTGCAGATGGATCATAAACATGGAAGGTGCTCAGGGAACTCTGTATGAAGGGGAGCAGTTCCAACTACAATTTAAATTTAGTTCAAAGTATCCATTTGACTCACCAGAGGTCAGTACAGTGAAAACATTGTGTTCATCACTTAGTCCATTGGCTTACACTTACAACATAAATTAAAACCGTTTATTGTTTTGCAATATTTTGAATTATGAAAAAGTTAGAACTTTGTTACAGAGTCACGTTCAGTTTTAATGTTACAGGTGACATTTATTGGTCCGAACATTCCAGTCCATCCCCACGTGTACAGCAATGGCCACATCTGCCTATCGATTCTTACAGAGGATTGGTCGCCTGCGCTCTCTGTCCAGTCAGTGTGCCTCAGTATTGTTTCCATGCTCAGCAGTTGTAAGGAGAAGGTATGGTACTGTAAAGTTATCCCAAGCCTTGATAGCCTGTGCATAGATTTTACTCAAGTACTATCACAAATTGTAAATAGTGACCAGTACTTGAATGAAAGTATTAATTCATGATCTTGTCTGAAATAGGAACTAGGTATTGGTAGAGAAATTGTAAATAGTGTTAGCCCAAACAACTGTACATGCTGTACCAGGTCTGAAGTAGCAGGTAGATAGTTGCACAGAAATTTTATATTGTGACTATGTTTGTGGTGGTGGTGTCTAATGGCCTGGTGTTCATTGTTATGTCATAATCTGTTACTGCAGCCTCTGCTTTGTGACACTTTTCATGTAATTTCATTTATTACAATTTTTGCATGAGGAATGTTCGTGTTATTGTTTTCTTCTATCACTTGAACAGCAGTGTCATCATCTTGTTTTCATTGTCTGTCCAGGCCTTCATAATAGGATTGCCAAAATTATGGATTTAAAATTACTTTAGATGAAACTTTTGTGTTGAAGTATTAATCAGAGCTACATAAGGACATTTTTCATTGAAACAAATTCAGAAATAGGCTTAATATAGGGATGAACGCTACAAAGCAAAGGGAAAAGTTGTCTGCATGCTCAAGCAAGATGTAGATAGGAGAGGCAGTAAAGCTCCTGACATTCCTAATCTGAGCACTTGGTGGAGGTGAACGGTCAGTTTCACACTGGCGACTTTAGTCGCAAGGAATGAGCCCTTTTACCTGTTGGATAGAAAGCTGAAATGCTTCAGGAATATATGTTTAATTGTTTCATTTTATTTCACTTTCAGAAAAGGCCTCCTGACAACTCTTTCTATGTAAAAACCTGCAATAAAAATCCAAAGAAGACCAAATGGTGGTATCATGGTATGTAATATAACCATATTCAGATCATTCACACTTGTGCCAAAAGACAGGATATGCCAAAAGCACATAATATTTTCAGTGGAACTACAGTTGTTGGTCATGTTTTTTTATATCAGTCCTTTGGTAGGCGATACATCAGAAAATACTTGAATCTGAAAATTGCTAGGCTTACTTTGTCATTGGTTTGAAACCTGAGTTTGTTAATGGCAGTGTCTGTCTGCCAGAGGGCCCCTATGAGTTTCATTTATTTGAACACATGATAAATCTCCAGGTCCAATTTTTTTATTTATTGTTTTGCTGTCTGACAATGGACTGTAGCATTATTCCCCAAATGTCATGAAGATTACCAGAGGACCTGTGAGGGTAGGAGTTTTCCGTTTTGAACAACCTTACTAGTAGATAGGTGATAACACTGCTGTGGCAGGCTGGTGAACCAGTCTTTCAGAGATTAGCAGTCTCCATCTTCAGAGTGAAGTGAGTAACATCAGAACCAGCCCTCTTAACTTATTGGTGGATCTGAAATTATGTGTAGACCAAGGGGCATCGACAATTATAATAAAAGAGATGCTTTGAAGGACTTGCTAAAGGAAGGTTGGCATATTGTGGAACAAACCTTGTCTTGTAATCTGTGAATCTGTAACAAGTTAGTCACTGTGTAGCTTGAATTTTATTTCAAGCCTTCCCAGGTAATGAATTTTGCTTTGTGCATCTTACATATAGAAGATGTAATCAACTTTTTGGTTTCATTTTTTGGGTGCTGGTGGATGTATGTATATATAAATTCTGAACAAACCACCATGAAAGCCCAAAGACCACCACCCTTGTAACACTGCCCCTGTGTGTTTCAGATGACTCCGTATAGGACTGGCTGTGATTTAGTGAGTATGAACTCAAACATTTGATCAGCCAGTATGAAAGACAATCTGCTATTACATTTTACACTTTATTCCACCCTGAACATTGTTGTTTTCTGTGCGGAACACATCTCACTGTGTGGTGCATCGCAATCGACCAAAGAGGAACGTACCCAGTGCCTGTATGTTGATGTGTAAATACCAGAATTATGACTCTACTAGTTTATATTGTAATTAACATTAATTTACCTGACGATTAACATATTTGTGGATAAGATATATTCCAGTGCTGCAAGACAATGACTTTCCTTTGCAATTTGTGGACAGATGTGTATAATTTCTGCATTTATTCCAACACAGCAGCTAGGTCATGTGACATTCATGTATGGCTGTGGACAATGGTTTAGGTGCCACATTCCAATAAAAACAATTGCAATGTAGAAAATGCACCATCTTTCCTTGCATTAGATGTCCCCTCCTCATCTTAATGCAAATACCATTTGAAGTCTCTCTTACACAAGTAAAAGGGGCCACACATTTTATGTGCACATAACCTCAGTTCATGCTCATTATCTTCCTTTAAAGTAGCAGTTCTCATTCAGTACTTTTATCACTCTTTTAACCCCTTGCTTATGAAACCGGAAATGTGTGAACCCACATTAATCTGCATCTACTTTTTTGTATTTCTACCCACCCATTTGACTTGGCCCATCTCTAATCACAAGTCATTCCCTTCAACAGTGCAGCTGAAACTGACTATAAAATGATTTTTTTATAAAACAAACATATAAACCAGTAACAATGTTATCTACCCCCTTAGTACGTATGACTGAATTTGTCTTACAGAATAACTGATATGTATATATTCTGACAATATATAATTTTTACTGAAGTTCCTGAACCACCCTGGATATTGTGAACCATTGCTGTAATTGCTTTTCTACAGAAATTAGAACTGTGCGCGTGTGACAAGTTTACATAATTTATGTATTATATGGTACTTTATCTTATTTATGGCATTTTTATCTTGTGTATTTGATGTAATGGAAAACAATGCAGCATTTCTCTATTTTGCTTTGCATTTAACATCAACAGCCGTACATAAAATACCAGTTTTAGTGAAAATTATTTTTATTCTGATCTGTCTTCTGACAGTGCAAGAGTTTGCACTCTGAATTTCATTCAATTCAAACAGCCATTGGTGCAAATGGAAGATCAGTGCAGGTAGATTTTTTCATTTACTTGACACTTTGCTTGCTGCTACATTTTTTAATCACCTATATTGCAAATGTTGAGGTAAAGATTTAATATGTTATGTTTGGTTTAATTCTCTTGATTTTAAGAGTGTGCTGTCTTTGCAAATAATGCTGCTTGCATCTGATACTCAAAAAGCAAATAATATGAATGTAATAAGATATAGTGGAGAAAAGAATGAATATGTATATGATGGCATTGGAGTAGTAGGCAATATATTTATGGACTATTATGTATAATGAATTATTTAATCTGTTGCAATGTGTAGTACAGTGTAGGCTGTATACCCTTTACCAAGGCACATCATTTGTCACAGACTGAAGATGGTGGCCAATATGCATGTACATTTTGAAACCAACTTCTTTAATCTTACTGCCAACCTGAAATGGTTGGTTTTCCATTACATTAAGAGAAGCTGACAATGTTTACATTTACAGTCTCTTGTATTGTACTGTACTGTCCATGTGCATGAATGGAGAAATGCAATGTAACATAGCATAGCTGCTTGTTTTTAATGTGTATTAGAGCAAGTTCTGAATTAAATTATGAATTGCAGGTATAAGAGATATATAATCATATGCCCAAATATGAGAAAGTGAATGAAGACTTAGGATTTTATGTGGGTTATGCATCATTGGTAATGCATATGCTGGAGATTAGCAATGAGATATCTTAGATGTAGAACATCAGCGTCGAAGTTGGTTGCCCCTGATATGTTGTATGAAATAGGCTACATCTATAGTTTGTTAGTATTACTATCATAAGACTTTTCATAATGCAGGCCTGTGATTTTTTGTAAATGTGTAAATTTGATACATTATTAAATATCAGAAATGTGAGTTGTGATTACACTTAAGATACTAATTCCCCAAAGGAAATAGGGCATTGAAATATGAATCTACAGTGTGGTTTATGTAAGTCATATCTACATGTTTCCAAGCCTAATATTTACACAGGTATTTCATTAGTTGGTAATTTCAGTGGAAGTTTCTTGTTGGTAAGTTACATTTTTTAAATCAATAAATTGGGTGGAGCAGTAGTATGTAACCATTTGGTCACCATGGGAAAATTACTAAATTTTAAATACAAACATTTCCTATATATATTTTACAGAAAGCTGAATTGCTTGTACATTAATTGTAGGCTTTAATATAGAAAGGTTGGATCAATCGACTTTTTAAAGAATTTCCTGCGCCATAGTGTGAGCGAGCAAGTGACTTGGATTAAAGAATATTCACAAACTGTAACTTAGAAATTCGTCACCTGGAAGTTCTTGACATATGAAAGGGGAAGTTTTATGGTGACGATGTATTTTCATCTGAATATAACTAAAACGTGCAGTTCTTAAGTGGTTACTAAAAGAAATATTTTTTCTCTATTAATGAATCCATGCAATATAAGAAATAGGTACGTATGTAACAACATTCATACCCTCTGCCATCTGGTGATGGAAGTATAAATGTAGCAACTCAGTGTGATTATATTCAACATTGGCGCAAGACTTGAGGAAGTGCAGTATCTATTAACTTTTTAATGATTACGTGATGAAATACGCCATCTACATTCGCAGAGTAGGTAGAGTTTATACAATTTCCACGGAGAAACAAGTTTTCAAAGTTGTTTTGCCTAGTTCGAACCCCCGTGCTATTTGTTGGTGTTGTGCGATGATCATCTTTGATTTCGTCGTTAGGTGCATTGAAAGTAATACATTCTTTTCTCTGTGATTCAGTCTTCCTTATGTATCATTCCACAGGAGGATTTGTGTTTGAGATTTAGCACGTGGAAGAAACTTTGCAATATGGATAAACCTGTTGTGTTAGCCAGAGTAATGAAAGTATTGGGACGTACGGGTTCACAAGGCCAATGTACACAAGTCAAAGTGGAGTTCATTGGGGAGCAAAACCGACAGATTATCAGAAATGTAAAAGGACCTGTTCGCGAAGGGGACATTCTCACACTTCTGGAATCTGAGCGAGAAGCAAGAAGGCTACGATAAATTATTATTGGTAAGTGAAACGTGAATACCAGGATCATTTGAAATCACTATGAATTCCTAGATATTAGTGTATATTAGAGCAGATAATTCACTGTGTTATGTTCGGAACGTTGAGGTATATTTTAGTACATCTTGTTACTTGATTCATATTAATATCTACGACATTCTCGTTTTTGTCGTAGTATGAAGAAATGCACACATTATTATACCGCGTGTCGTTTGTAACTTCTGAGCACGTCGATTACCTGAATTAATTAAAATGTACCGCTTGTGTTACTGGACTCACAAAGGAAATATAATCGTATGAGATGGTGTTTTCATTGATGTTATATTTTAACTTGAATGAAGTAGCATTATTAATTCTCCCCACTTTCAGTTTGCATTTACATCTGTGATGTTGTGCTAGTAAATTTGAAAAATAACTTATTCCGTTTGTAGCATGGATGTACACAGTAACTATGGCTCAGACTAACTATATTTGTATGATATGGTAGCTACCTTACATCACATAAAATATTTATTAACATATATGAATAGGATGTTAATTGCCCAGTACACTGATTAAATGGAAGTTACACTACTAGATGATTAAAAGAGAAGTGGGTTTAAGTAGCCTACATTATATATATATTTATTTGTTTCTGAGCATGCATACTGATGTGGAATCATCACCCTTCTTCATTTTATTATTAGAACTTCATAAAAGTAGTATGTTTAGGATTGATGTGGAAAACATGCTTTGTAAGTAAGAAATATGCAGATTGTAACTGCACCTATAGTACTAATCATTATTGGTAATGCATCATAGTCACAGGCATTCCAGCTGGCCAAGTGTCACATTAGCATATTGCTGCCAAGTAAAGTTTTAATGGTGGTTACTAAAATAAAGCTGAAAGAATTTGATTATAAAACAGTAACTGGATCTAATCAAAACTATCCTTACTTATGTAGTAATATTTGTGATGACAGAATTAACACTTTTTTAATTTTAACTGAAACAACTTTTCACATGATTATGTAACAGAGCCTGAGTTATTGATAACATCTTTAAATAAACAACAAATGAATACATATGTATAGAATCTCTGTGGCTTGCACACACATAATGTCATATTCTGCCACACATGTCCTTCATTTATGCTTACTAGACCTGTGACAGACAACCTAGTAACCTAATTGTCATAATTTGTTAGAGAAATTTGTAACAAACCATTGTATTATTTTACCCTCATTAGTTCAACTACAGATGGTTGTTGCGACTGGTCACCACTGTAAAACCACCTTCATTCTAATCTGTTTTGGTGACAATCATCCTAATGTTTATTCCTTATTCTTTATTTATTCAGGTTTTGCAACTTGTGGGGTTTCGTGCTGATATATTCTGCCCAGTTATGGAGATTTCCAAAGTAATTATCTGCTTTCTGGTTGTTTGTAACACCTTATGAATATGTCAAAGTTGTAAGTGTGTTTATTGTAATAAAATAAAAGGCAGTGACTTCTGGTGTATTATTTCCGTACACAATACTTCACCCAGAATTTACTTTGTGCACAACACTGAGGATTGATGAGTTTACAAACAGGGCCATGTAGAGGTTATGTATGTAAGAATATTAATATTACAGTAGAGTCCTGATTATCTGATGTACTGTCTCTCACATAAAGGAGTTTTCTTTTCATTAACATTTAAAGTGAAAAGAGAAAAAAGTGTTTGTTTCCATGGAACAAAAACTTGAAGCCTTGCAGAGAATAGATAAAGGTGCTGTATAAAACTTATTTTCCATTATCTAGTGAATATTGGTGCAACAGATTCTAGTAGAAATTATACCAATTGAATTACCCGTTTCTGTGCCACAATTTCCATTACTAATAAGTATATTTTCACTTTGGTACCTGATTGTTTTCAGACAATATGCATTGTCAAGATGCTTCTAATTTTTTTATGTACAAAATGTTTTTCATACAAGATTTGCAGGTATGTGCAAGACTCATTTCCACACCAAACTGCATATTCCTACTTTCAATGGCTTGTTCATTACCAGCACCATGTACAAAGGTAAATATAGATTTCACAAAGCTGCCTTTTGCCATTCTATTTTACATTATGCAAGAAAGCATATTTTTCTGGGGGTGACCATTACAGTAGTCAAGTGGTGGTACTGCTGCTTCTGATTCAGGAATTATAGGGGTGCATTCTGATTCTGAAGGCTGACTCACAGAATTCATATAAAACCCCCAGGGTGGCTGTCCAGAGGTTTTACATAAATTTTGTGACACTTCAGGCAAATTCTGCAACAGAACCTTAAAATAAGGCATGACCATTTCAATCCACATCCTTTCCACTTTATTATTGAGAATAATACCACCATTTGATGTTGAAAAGTAAATGCAGTTAAGAAACATCATTAAATCCATTAAGACTTCTCCCCTAAGGTATGCCAGTTGGATCACATTTGATACATGGATATTTTCATTTTTCTGCACATTTTAAAGTGTAAAGATGTGGTTTCTCCAGATTAAGCTATACAGTATAGTGTGTGGATACTTTATTTATAATCTAGTACACTAATATAATTTATGTACATTATAATGATGGTTGTGATTATGTTGATTCCAATGCAGTAGGTATGTAGCCACCTACAAGACTACATTATGTTATAGTCCTAAACACCAATATCCTTATTTTCAATGCCATGAAAACCTGAATCATAGGAGACATTCTATGATGTCAGCAGTCATTACTAGTACCAGCTAAATACTGACTGATTAATTCCTCAGCTTTTGTGCGGTTGGCAAAATTGGATACTTTGGCCTGGAACTTTGGTCCTTTAGCTGCTCCTTTTCCATTTAGTAGTGCACACACCCTGAAACACACAAACAATTACTCAAAGCTGGATAAAATACTTTACCTAAATGGAGCCTCATTTTTGGGGACTGTGAGTTGTCAGTCATCAAACATTAACAACGTAAGCATGATCATATTAATGTCGATTAACCTCACCATTCCAAGTATTAGCGTCAAGTGGCTTGTTATGTGTTTTGCAAACTGAATCATATTCTGTGCATAACCATTCTGTTGGACTTATCCTTCTAAGTTTTTTTATCATTATTTAAATCCACAATGTTTTGGAAGTCCTATTTCCATCTTCAAGTGACTATTCTGTTGAGCCCCTTGGTCAATCTAGTCTCAGCCATGGACTGCAGTAACATTAAAACCAAATATAAAACTTGTTCGCAATGATATTTATCTGCAGGAGATAACCCAAATCACATAAATCATATCTTTTTAGGGGTTTTCCAAGGCAACTCCTTCCTCTGGGCTGATATTTTATTTTAGTGTGGGATGATCATATTAGAACAGAATACTGATAACCACCCATTTGGCATTGGGTATCACCATTCATTAGTCTTCTTCTGCATGGTTTGAAGAATAATGACATTCCCACACAGCAAAACAAGGAACCACAGGAAGGACACAGAATAGGGAAGGATCATTTTTCTATAGTAAACTGTTCAACTTTACATGCCCTTGCTATTAGTACATTTGTGAAGATACACCTAAAACTTCTGCTCAGACAGTATGGTTCAGTTTTTTCAGTTTTTCTTCCTCTGCGATCAAAGCCAACTCTAGATGTTTTCAGTAATCATGACAAAATGGTTAATGGATCCTTGGGGTTTCGAGAAACATATAAGAAGCAGAGTACAGATAGTACCTGTTGATCTTGGCCAGCTGAACCTCGTTAATTGTGGTCGGTGGAGGAGAATGGTTCCAGCTGTGTCTCATCTCTCAGTTATTTCTGTTAGTGGTACACCCTGGTAAATATGTTGACTGATAAACTAGATGAGGGTAACCAGATAACTAGATGTGGTGAAACTTTGCTACCTTGCAAGGATGAGGAAGGATCCTTAAAACTAGGTAAGTGGAATTCTGGAAACAACCAGTGCAGGTTTAGAGGAACCTCCCAGATAATGGCAGGTAACCAATAATGGGGAAAATTAATTATTCCTGTTGATATACAAACTAATCATTTGATGAAAAAAGTAGATGGTCTGAATAGTTTATGTAACCTCAGAACAAGTCTGTGGGCCTAAACCTTGTGACAAAGATGATTTAAGAATTGCTGAACTATGATACTTACTGGGGGCCTAGTTGTGCTACTGTAGCTGGTTCACCATGTAGCACCATCTGACCACCTTTATCATCCCCCACAGTCAGGAACAGTAACACATTCTGGTGAAACAAAACAAATTGTCTGAAATGAGTTCAGAGAGTTGTGTAGTTGGCTGCTGGCAATTTTTGTTATGCAGTACACATGATTAATGTCTTACTAATTTTTTTTTTATTTATTTACAAGTTCGAAGAATCCAATAGTGGATATAGAACACGTCACAAATTCAAGTATAAAAACATAAAATACATACATTAAAAAATTACATCTAGACAAGCAGCGTACTAAATTCAAGACAATATAATTAGTATTTTTATTACAATAGTTATCCAATTAAGTACTCATCCACAGTGTAAAACGAGTGAGTAATTAAGAAATGCCTTAATGCAACCTTGAACTTTTTAAAATTATTTGAGGTATTCTTAACCTCTGTGGGTAATTTATTAAATATCTTTATACCCGCATAGTGAACTCCTTTCTGATAAATAGTTAGATTGGCTTGGGGTAGATACAAATTTTCTCTCTGTCTAGTATCAATAGTATGAGAGTCAATGTTTGATGGAAAAAGAGTTTTGTTTTGTAATACAAACAATAATAAAGAAAATATATATTGTGATGCCAACGGTAAGATATCTAATTCTTTGAATATATTTCTACACGATACTCTATTGCTACATCCCATCATTGTTCTAATTGCCTTTTTCTGAAGGAGAAAAATAGTGTAACTACTAGATGAATTTCCCCAGAAAATGATGCCATAGCTCATTAAGGAATGAAAGAAAGCATAATAAATTGTCTTTAGTACTGAAATAGACATATATGGTTTCATATTTCTAATTACATAGCAAGCCTTGCTCAATTTTTTAATAAGTAGATCAATATGATTCTTCCAAGTTAATGCACCATCAATCATAATTCCCAAGAATTTAGTACAGAAGATATTATTAATGAATTTATTATTATAACTTATTGTAACAGTATCTGACATTTTTCTCTTAATTTGTTGGGTACTGCCAGTTTATGAAATATCTGCAGTTAAAATAAAAATTAACATTTTATTTAAAATAAATGTAGCATGCAAGTGAAATTCTTGTAGAATTGGAAGTAACTGAAGTATAGAAATACTCAAAAAATGACCGTCTTGTGGGATGTTGGGTCATGTAGTCTTGCAGAAATTAAATGACACTTTAGAAGTGCTTTCTGCCTCCATCACAGAATCCCTGATAATGGAGGCAGTTGGAACCTCTGAAACTGGTTACTTTCTATGAGACCATACAACACATTTAATTTTGTGTATTGTAATCTGTAGGGTTTTAGGTAGGAGGCGGGCAGTATTCTGAACTGTATATTAGAAAGTATTTCCAGTGTTTACTGCTGGTAGTACAAACTCTGTTTAATCTACAAGAAACTTGTTTACTTACTTGATCTCCCACCTCATTGATGAGAATGCTCATGAAGTCAGAATCAGCCTCTTTCCTGCAACATAAGAACTCATTTTGGAAAAGTCATGTCACCTGTTTTCCTTCAGTAATTTCATCTCTACACAGAAGTTAACATGAATAATAAATGCATATTTATACTAATTTAGTGTGAGTAATGTTCTGAAAGTAGGGTGGTACATTTTCAGCTGCTTACATCTTCCTCTGATACACATAATACCTGTGATGTGAGACGTAAACTGGAGTGGGCACCTGTTGCTTGATACGTGCACCCTCATATGCTGCTATATCTCGAAGAGCAGCCTGCAGATTCTGCAACCACAGGAACCACAACATTGCTTATATAAATGTTCTGTATTTTACATAATGCTGGATCTGTTTATATCTGTGAATGGAAATTGAAAATATTCAAAGAAAACATTCTCTTTATGTACCTTGTTGGCATATTTGAGGGACCTCTGCAATTTATCAACCAGGTTGACATGGTCTGCAGGCCCATTTCTGGAAACAGCAACTCTTACTATTCATCATGGACAATGAGAGAAATAAACTAGTAATTTGTAATTGAGAGAATGTGTTGTGAAATGTGTTTTTGTCATTTATTCATGATAGTCCTCACAACAAACAAGTGGGACTTGTAACTAAACAATAAACAGAATGAGTTCACTTGACACATTCATGTCTGGACGGCTGAGTGTCTGCCTATGATGAGCTGCTGCTTTGAATAAGCAGACAGTGCTGGTGTGTATCCTTTGAACATATAATGTCTGGCAAATTATTTTAAAACACTGTGGAAGGTGAAGCAGCGTATGCCTCTTTAATTTATTTTTTCTTTAGTTCATTTTCTGCATATTAAAGTTTGTTCTGTTTGTTATTATGCCTACCATGTTAACTAATAGCCACTGTGTACTAACAAACGGAACTACAAGCTTTCAATTCTGGCATGATGAAACATCAGTTTTCTGAATTCCCACTGGTTAGTGCAAAAGCCAGAGAAGCATGTTAAAAGTTAGTTGGAGAAATATCTCCTGTAATGAACACTTTTAAGTTACTGTGTCTTTTAAAGGTTCCCCTTCTGTCCTTGGAAGTCCAGAAATATTTCTTTAAAATACTTCTTTGATGATCTTCAATGACTGGACAAAAATAGATTGGAAAACTGAAGAACACATTTTTAAGAAATGTAATGTTTTCTTTTGTTTTGTATGGGTTTAAATGTGGTCTCTGGCTTGGGAGAAAACAAATTGCTGACTAGAATATTTGGGTCTAGGACAGGTGAAGGGAGAGAAGAATGGAGAAAACATTTCACGCATAAGAGGTTGATAAGATAGGTTGGAAAATTCAAATGAAAATCATTGGAGACTGATATTAAAATAGATTTTAAAGACATCAATTGTGAACAACAGTAAATTTCTTCACCAGCCAAGTAACTATCAGTTGCTTTAAGAATAATGAATTAGTGAAATTGGTGGCAACATTGTGACATACTTGAGCAGAGCAGTGAGTTGGTATTCACGATGCAGACATGCTGAAAGTTGTCGCAGTACACGTCCTCCTACTAAGAAATGCAGGTTGGTCTTATTCTTCTTTCCTTTCTCTATGCGCAGTATTTTTATTGCCTGCAGTTGGCTCAGGTTTGTTACATGTGTTCCACAGCACATGTTGCTCTCCACTCCCTCAATTGTCACAACACGCACTGCTCCCTTATGGTCATCTGGTAGTCCTCTTGTCCTCACCTACAACAAGGGATTAACTTCAAGCAGTGTAGTGCTTTCCCAATGTGACAGTGGCATCATTAGTGAATCCATGTTTTCCTAATTTCTGTTGCAGGTAGCATCATTACCATTAAACAGCTTCACCAGTCCATTAGCTATTCACTTTCTGAGTTCTTACCTGACTTCTCAGCTACCCAGAAGGTGTCAGGGACTAGGTCCATGCTGTGTATCACTCTGACAAGCTTTCCATTACCTGAATTTACTACTAATTAATCATCCTATAATGGATACTATGAATTTGCGCTTGTAACTTACTCTCTTGAGCTCAGAATCTCCTTCTTTGTAGACTGTGACGATGACTGGATTTGCAGCTCGGATTTTCTCATTGACAAGTTCCTCTAGTGTGTCCAGGTCTGAAGGCTTGACACTTTGGGTATCTGCAAACACATACTATTACCACAATGTTGCATTGGACCAGTCAGCTTTATGAAATGGCATTTATGCATTCTTAATGATTACTGATTATTGCTAAAGACCACTTTACATCAAATGTACCTGTCTGTGCAATAAGGTGAGCAGAAACTATACATTAGTAATTCTACAACCTAGTGATATGTTTGTTCTTAATTTACATTAGGAGACCTGCCAGCAACCCTCAAAAAGAAGGCTGAAGGATCTATGGTGAAAATACAGTAGGCTTGTGAAGCCAAGAGTGGATACGTAATTGTTTTCAAGAACAGGTAAAGCCTTGGAAGATATTGTATCAATTAAAGATCTAGCCACAGCAAAAAGCCTTAACCTCATGTCCATGTATTGTGAGGCATGTCCCATGTTTACAGTGAAAGTTTGTGATGTTAAAATTAGTCACTGTAACATGCCTTACCAAATTCTATATATGATTCCTCTTCACCCAGCCACCAGGATGTAGTGGGGTACCCAAAATGTATATCTGCCAGTGCAGTGATGAGATGTTGCCCTGGGGATCAGAAAGGAATGTACCAAACTAACTGTTTTAAGAGAACTGGATGGTTAAGCACTGCTAATACTAAAGCTTGCGACAAGACAAGACTCTGAACCTGTATAATCCATTTTAAATCTTACTTTCTTTTTCTCCACAGGAGCATTCCAGAATAATTACCAAAAATATTCTGAATGAACTTTCTGTTTTGTCCATCACAACTATTTCCAGTTCATTCTGTCATCTTTGATTTGATTATCCTAACAGTAGTAGGTCAGTTACATAAATCACAAATTTCCTCCATCTACCATTGTTATTTAGATACATGATACCTTACCGGGTCCAATTAATTTAGTTTGTATGCTACAACTGTGGTGGATTGAGTCCAGCAGTGGACTGAAACATGATTTTCTGAATATCAGAATGAAAGTTATGAAATGAAAGGGTTAATATAAATGCAAAAGAAATTATCTGTTGGTTACCTCTGTTAACAGATTTATATCTGCAATAAATAAGTACAAAGTCTAATTAGGGATGCAAAATTGGAATATCTATTACTTAAGTTATTCCATGATATTCTTCCATATGCTCAGAATATAATGAGCAGATACAGGAAGGTTATCATGAATGTTGAGCATGTATGAGTTTGAATGGATGGCAATGTTATCTCAGCATTTGCCTTCAGGGACTCAGGGAAATAATGGACCTCTGGCATGATAGCTAGTAACCCAGCTGGATTCAATCCTAATTGCTCTTGAATATGTCCTAAAAAAATCTGACCATCTGTGTGCTCCAAATAGGAGGACTTCATTTTTAAAAAAATATTTAAAATACCTGGACCTTACCAGAATGCTGCTGCATGTGGTCTAAACGTCTCTCCCAGTCTAGCTTCTGTGTAACCAGCTTACCAACTGGTAATGCGGATTCCACAAAGTGGACAGCATCTGCCCCACGTCGTGTCACTTGCAACACTGGCACACTGCCCAGTAAGCCATAGTCACATGGCTATTTAAAAGAATAAAATCCCCACTTAAATGTTGTGTCAACAATCTGCTTTTGTTGTTGCGGAAAGAGCTGAGCTGTGAATCGCTTGTAGAAGTGTGTTGTAGAGTAGATAATTTTGTGCTGGTAAAAACATTTTAGAATATCACAAGTACTTATGTTATATAAGAATTATTACATTTCATTACATTACAGAGACGTATTTACGTCAGATTCTCCGGAACCATGGTTCCACTGTCAACTTTTTCCAGAACAATATTTGTATCCTACATCAAGGGTATCACTTCTGATAGCTTGTGAATGTAAATATGATGCAAATTACTATAGAATATGTCTTAAATGTCTGAATTTTACTTCTGTTTTGGTTGAAGGGATGATGTGCTTCTCCATATTTAGAATGAAGGGCACAAACTACTGTACTTATTTGGGGATATCTACAGTGCATTGACAATCTGCTTTAGAATTGTTTGGCTCAGCTACTGTACACAGAACCAAAGTGAACATGTTCTGGGCATAAAAGAATTTCCAGGGAACCTCTAGCTACATTTAGGATTATACTATTTATGCCATAGCCAGTGTTGGCACTACTGCTAAAATATAACCCATCTTTCCTTGACACATCCAACATTTGTTTGTCAAACACCTAAGTCATCTGATATTAACTGATACTTCATTATTTCATCACCACCTATTTATTCACTATGGTAATGTTATTTTAATACAGATCAAAATTATTGTCTGCAACATATACTGGTCACCAGATTATAAAAAGTTCATTTGTGCTCAATATAAACACAATTAAATAAATTTAGTCATGCCACATATAAACTATGTATTAGAAAGATATATGAATGGCAAGGATAAATAAAGTGGATTGAATATACCTGTCCACCCCCTTCAGGAAACAGTATCGTGTCCTCCAGAACAACTTCATAGCCACTGATAGTAATTTTCTTTCCATTAGTTACTGTTTTTAACTGTGCTTCAGTGCAGGTCACGACTTTAGATGTGAACTATAACATATATGTAAAACTAAATTTAGTATGCAAAATCAAAAGCTGCTTGCTATTGAAACACTGCATTTGAGGTGAACAGTGATTTGACAATCCTTGTCATTTTATATACATCCTCACTGCTCCTGTCTTCCAGTTATATGTTTTTCTAAACTTGTGTTTCAATCAACATTGACATTTATTACGTATGTTGGTTACAGTTTACAGTGTTGGGTCATATTTCAATCACTCGGGATCATCTTCATTCAGACCCTCCATAAGGACGCAGAGATGCTCCTGCATAATTGAAACATGTTGCCCAGAATTCAGTTCTACAATGCTAATAACATATAAATATACGGTGTGTAAAGGGATCATTTTTCCGTTTTAAACATGGGTCATCAACATCGCAAAAGGAATGTGTATTTTGAGCACTTTTTAATGCTTGCTTAAATTATGACTTTTTATTCGTGGGGTATTTGTAGTGAGTACTAATCTCATGTAGTATACATAACTATTTTCAAACGTTAATACTGTTATAATTTTAAATATTCAGTGTACAATCAAGTCAGTGAAGCAACGAAACGAAACGCAATGTTTTTAAAACAATTTGGTTGTTGAAACCCGTATCCAATCGGCTGGTCTCACAGCCCAGAATCGAATATGTGACAATATGAAAAAACTGGATTCAAAACAGAACTTCCAACATAGCATAGAGCAATGTGAGCAAAAATTAAACTGGATGTTGTATATTTCAGTTAATAGAAATATGCCAATGTTCCGATAAACGTTTTCTAGCTCATTAAAATTTGGTTTAAAAATAATTTACTCAAGCACGGAAACAGATGTACTGTAATAATAGAGGTTTAATATTCTTACCTCTTTTAAGAAACTATCCTCCTGGCATTTATAAACCATTCTTTAAATGTTAATAGGCGCAACAATACGTAATCACTCACATCTACATTTCATTAATTACAATGTTGGTATCACTGTTTGACGGGAACTTACTTGTACATAGTAGTGCTGACTATAAGACCTGTTTCCTGCCATGTGTTTCCGTAGAATTTCCACGTTGCGGAGCGACCCAGAGTCCTTTTCGCTGGACGCCACATAATAAGTAGGAAGTGTTGAGTTCGGGCATGTAGTAAGAGCGAAGTATTCCAGTTCTTCTGTTATATTTGCCCGCAAACATGAACATTTTCTTATTGAGTATCCTTCTTCTCCCAGCTTTAATTCTTACTACTGATAATGGTGAGTACAGTGAAATTGAAAATGATGTATAAAGCTGGGTGAGGTGTGACCGGTTTAGATAGGCCATTGACGTTGATTTCATGTAACAGATTTACTTGGCATATTATGTTAAATATATAATTGACTGGTGGAATTAAGTTGTAATATTTAAATGTTGTGCATAAATATTGTGCTGTAGGTCACTTTGAAGTAATTTTAGAATGTAGTACTTGCAAGAAGTATGTGTTCCCATATGTTGAAAATACAGTCATGTTGTAACATTTCAGGGAGTTTACTTGCTTGGGCAGAAGACGACGATGTGGATGATGAGATAGTTGATGTAGAAGGGGAAGGTGATGAAAGCTCAGTAATTGAGGAAGGCGGGGAAGAAGATGAAGAACAGCCTAGAGCCTCACCACATGCAGATACAACAATTCTGTTTACCAGACCTGTTGTTTCTGGCACATCAGGAAACCTAGGTTTGTGTGTGTTAAGTCAGAAATTGGAAGTGATAAAAACATAAATGATGTGCACTAAACAGGCCCAAGTACAGGAGATTAGTCACTTAGAGAATCCACAGGCTGTTTCTGACATGTCAGATTCATTTCAGAATTGCCAGGTGGAAACCTTGTTGAGTTCCTTGTTGGATTCACAAACAAGGGAAGTGAAGACTTTGTATTGGAAGCCTTGGAGGCATCCTTTCGTTACCCCATGGACTTCAGCTTTTACATCCAGAACTTCTCAACCATAGCTTATAACCGCGTTGTGAAGCCAACCCACGAGGCAACCCTTGTATATTCATTTATTCCTGCAGAAACATTTGCTGGACGGCCATTTGGATTGAACATTAACCTTAACTACAGGGACTTGGTAAGCCTGCTCATCATCTAGCACTACATTTTGTGATAACATAAAGTTCCATAGTGCATGTGATGCAAAACAGCATTCTGATAATTCTGTGAAAATAATCATGCTTCTAAGGAACCTCTGATGCATATGGAACTTCCTCATTTATTGGTACAGTATCATACATCTTCCCCTTCAAATTATTTCTGCAGCACAGCCATTTTTGGAAACTTTGTTTTCTTTATTTCTGGGAATGTGACAATAACATCAAAGTTTCAAATTCTGTATTGCATCCTCTTTTGATGCTTGTGGGATGCAGTAAAAGATGCTGGTAATGATGGCAATGGGAAATTGTTTATTTTTCATGATAGCGCCTTTACCTTAGATCAAGCATCATGCATGTTTCCAGGTCTGAGGTGTTTGAAATATATTACATAAAAGTTCCTAGACAAACAAATAATGGAAAGCAAGGAACTGAACAGTCATTATCCCCATACACTTCCCTTCAGACCTCCTTATCCTTACTGTGCTCCACATAACATCATCCCGTCGTCTGCACTCTGATTGTAAAATATAATATTCAAAATGTAACCAGGAGGTTATATGAAACACTGACATGACTTTATTATACCACAAGAAGTGAAAAAATAATTTAGCAAAATAACCATATCAGCATAATATTACATATGAACTGAATATAATTAACCTAACATAAATTTCCAGTCATATATGAAAATAAGATGTTTGGTAGAGTTGAGAAACAGGTGAGACAGTACAGAAATCAGCTGTTGGATATTTTCCAATATCCAACTAATATTTTTTTATGCTTTCTCTTGTTGCAGGCTGGAAATGTGTTCCAAGAAGCTGTGTACAATGAAACTGTGCAGATAGTGGAACTGGAGGAGGGGCTGGATGGAGAGACATTTTTCCTTTATGTGTTCATGGCAGCTTGTGTTGTTCTGATGCTGGTGGGTGGCCAGCAGTTTTTATATTCTGTTGGACGCAAGAGAGTTGGTAAGAAGCCTGTGGTTGAGACAGGTACTACCAATCCTAATGACGTGGACTATGACTGGTTGCCCAAGGAGACACTGAATCACTTCACCAAAAAAGGTGAGTTGTGCAGGTGACTTACTGGTGTGAAATGGCATTATGATTATGTTTTCATCTAAGGAAGTACTGATGCACATTTTCTCAATTACTAGTACAACTATGAGATAACTTTGCCTTACTAACAAATTTCCTGTTTATTGGATGATCTGGTTTGAACTGCTGCTTTGTATTCAAGAAATAAGTCGAGTAAAAGCTACTGTTCGTTGGGGACATGTTTCCACTGTACAAGTAAGTGAAGTGTTGGAACCTACCATGCCAGAATTGATACCTTCATAATAAAATGTCAGACGTTAAATTTTTCAAGAGCTGGCAATGAGATGGTGATAGGAAGCCAAATTTTCATTTTGAGATTAGTAGTAGTTATGTTGTTTGTGATTGAATCAAGGCTGCTGGTGGATCAGGGGAAGACTGATCTTGTTTTAATGCATATACCAAGGAAGCGAATGGTGAAAGAGTGAGGAGAGGCAGCAGATGGTAAAGTAAGTCAAATGGAAGAAAGGTACAGGAAGAATAACATTGAATTTTGGATTGGAAGTGAGGAAGGAAGAGGGATTCTTAGATATGTTAGGAGTTGCGATAAAGATTCTGAGAGAGTCACCGAAATATTGAACAAGAATACTGAGGAAGGAAGAGGGATTCTTAGATATTTTAGGAGTTGCGATAAAGATTCTGATAGAGTCACCGAAATATTAAACAAGAATATCAAATATGTGACCAGACTGGGAAAGAGAAAGAGTCAGTGGCCAATGTGAGTGAAATTTACTTCCTTCTCAGTGAAATTGCAATTGTTAAAAATACTTGGTAAGTTTGCAGACTGGAGAAGATTAAGACTTCTTTGGAGACAAGAAAGGTTAAGAGGGGAGCAGCCTCAGCCAAATAATTGGTTATCCTGAAACATTTTTGTGGTTTTCCTCATGTTCACGCAGCTGTTGATCTCATACTTTGAAACAAGCTATGGCCATTTATGTCTTATTATAACCCAGTACCTTTCTATTTTGTTTTTGCAGTTGAAATTGTAGCATTAAGTAACCTAAGAATCATTCAGTCTGTTGTCTTGTTAGCAAAACAGTTATTCTTAAGTTTTTTATGTTCTATTCATCTCTGCAGCTTATTGTTTTCATTTGGGATACAGATGTACTACATTCTTGTTACAGAAAAATCACCACGAGTGCCAAGGCAGAGCCCGCGACAGAGAAAGGCAAAACGATCAGCAGGATTTGATGACTGAGTTGTGACTCTTCATTATGATAATGAACTTGCATGATTTGTTGCATTGCAGTTCTTACCATTGGTGTGTCCATTCTCTCTAGAGTGCAGCACAGTCCAGTTTCATGATCAACGTCCTTGTGACTATACTATAAGATACTCATTTGCATAGAACTCAAGTTGTGTAAAACAGTTATGTGAATGACTTGTACAGATCTTTCAGTCACTACAGCTGGTTGATATGCAAGAATATTTTAGTGTTGTGAATTTTAATATATTGTAATGTGAAAAGGGATGTTGATTTTTTTAAAGATGGTGTATACATTCCAGGAATAATTGGGGATAGGAACAGGGATTCAAGCTAACATAGATAGAAATGAAATTTGAAAATTAATTTTGTTCTGTATATAAAGCCAGGTTGGTATTAAATACCAGATTGTTGGTTAAATTATTTTAGGATAAGCTAGAGTAGAGATTTCTTTGAAATAAGGTAGTGGAGTGACTTTAATTTTATTGTAAGGACTGTTAAATAAATTGGAATGTACAGATGTTGGTTCATGATCCAGTATTTTTATGGGAGAATGTTTTAGGTTATGTTTGTTTTCTATAATTTCCTTGTCCCATCACACCAAACAGGTTTATATAGCAGTAGTACAGTAAGCTTGTAATTGTGAGGTACCCGATTCATATTAGAATAATATTACTGGCTACTGTGACTGATGAATTTGTTTTCCTCATTCTATCCAGTCTCATTGAAATAACCTGTGCTTCATCACATTTTTACTGCTGGCACCACAGAATTTCATCCAAAATACCTTTATTATTCATTGCATTGAGCCTTAATGGAAGAAAAACTTAATAAGGAAGTTGGATAACATTACCTAACCTGAAGATTGTATTTCTTTTGACAGTTCAATTGTGAAATTTGAGGTTCTCACAGTCTCTAGAAAGAGGTCAATTGTTTGAGAGTTGAGGTTCTTACAACAGTGAGGCTGATGATCTGAGTTTTGGCACCATGTAGACTTGCTGGTAGATGCCACAGTTTCGGAGGAACACACTGTCTCCACCTTCAGGGCTGAAAATGGTGACTACGTTCCTCTGAAACACTGGTAATAACTGAGTCTACACTGCCGAAACACAGGTCATCGAATCTACTTGTTGATCGATGAGTCTTAATACAATTATGAGTTATTGTAAGTAGGCCAAGAAAGGATGATGCATTTGATTGTGGCTGGAGCTATTTAATTAAAATTACGCGTATGATGTAGGTTCAATATAAATTACCCAAAGATGAAGGTTCAGGAAACCAACCATTACCCGAGATCCATGTTTCATCAGTCTGTCCAGGTGAATGCTAGGTTTATAACACAACACGTCAGTGCCGTTCCCAACCCTTAACCTATTCGCCATTGAGATTACTTAACCTCATATAACCTCTGCGCTTGAAACAAGGTTGTTAACCGAAGCAATCACTACGGGGCATTAGCATGTGTAAGACCAAATTAATTTTTGTATTTGGATCAGAAAAATCGTCAGTGTATCAAATATGTTTGGCAGGTAAATTCCAATAATCAGTACACTTGGATTTGTCGCATTTTAGAACAGCTATTACTGTGTATGCACTGATTTCCCGTCCCATGATTCCTTGCAGGTCAGTGGTGCGAACGCAGCATGACATCTTTCTTGGTACCGCCATAATGTTCATTTGAAACTGTTTCTTTTTGCTTGCGGTAGTCTCTTTTATACGGTGCAAATATGGTATTTGGGAGATGTCTGCCTGATGTGTGGAATAGCACAATGTAGTTGTACAGTATAGTTATGGTTGTTTTTGTGGTCTATTGTGGATATTGTCGAGGACGAACGTAATCTTCAAGAACTGGATGTATTAAGTTGTGCGTAATTTGTTACTGCAGAAATGCCTGTTTATTTTGGAAGAAGACTGTTTATCACGCCATAAGTATTGTCTTCATGTGTCTTGTACTTACTCAAGAAGAAAATCAGACCATGTAACCTATACCTGCAACACCGTTGTTCTTCGCATGTTTCTGGTGAGTAGGCCTACAAAGCGAGATGCTACATTTCAACAGTTGGAACGTAAGACGAAAGTCACTAGTTAGAATTGATACATGAAGTTGGGCTACTTTTTAGATTGGCTAGTAATGTATGTGCACACACACACACACACACACATGAAAGACGTTAAATATTGTCAATGACGTGTTACGGTTCATACAGAACCGCCACTGATTTGAAATTAAGGAAGGGCAATTTTATCAATTGTTTCCTGATTTTAAGCTTGCTATTTAAGTGTTTTGTATACTGATGTAAGTATGACGTGCCAGTATTGCAGATATTCAAAATTCTTTTGTTGATGAAACACATGTTTATTTCTTCAAAAATTTTCAGGGGTAAAGTGATAAGAAGTACAAGGAATTTTATTTCATGATACTCATTGCGAAAAGAACGTATTCAATACAAATCGAAAGACTTTCTGATGGAACTGCCATCTATAGACAGCTGCGGTACCAGTTGAGACTAAGAAATTCTCAGTGTCTTTTGTAGAGGTGGTCTAAAAGTCACGCAAATTTTATTAAAATGTTTATTGATGGTTGCAATTTAGGACAATTCGGCCGAATTAATAAACGCTGTCTCGAAACAATAGCCCACCTTCGCTGTCAGCTGACGATATCCGCCAAACTTTGTTACTCTCTGTACATTCCAACACTTAATATAATTTTGTTTTCTGATTTAAATATAATTTATTCGTTGACAAATAGAATTCATTAGGATTGTGTTACTTAACGTATCGATCATTCTGTACAATCTGTGTGTTACGCAGGCTTTCGGGGGTATGTGCCATATTTGTTTACGGCGAGTGTAGCTGTTTCAGTCCAATTTTTTTCTTGGCAGATTGAATTTCGAAGTTCCCATCGGCCGAAAAGCTCCCCCCCCCCTCCCAAAGAGACATTAAAATTTGTGAGAACGTACTTTATAGATTCACCAAAAGATATAAACATTTGGTAATTAATGCAAACAGGATGTTTTCAGTGTGTTCGTTAAGTCGAATGTTGCTGATACAATAAAGGAAATATAAAATGGTCTTATAAAGGTAGGACAAGCAAGACACGTATTTCCGTCAAAGTCGATACTTTTATTGGTCGCTGTAATGCTTTCTGTGCATTGTGCACGGGAAAATTAATTTTGCTAAAAGACCAACCGCGAGCCGTGTTTAACCTTATTCGTGTTGTGGCCTATTTTGAGGTGCATTGTCGGAAGTCGAACACCGGTCGTCCAGCACAAAACCAGTCACTGCTCAAAGCTACTGACTCCCTTAGTGTATAGCAGATGCTGACTTTTTTTTCTCATACCATCTGATCTGTACATCTGATAGTGGTGTTTGGCAAGCACCACCACAAGCATGATAACATGCAGCCTTACGCAACGAAATACAGTTGCAGATGTTTACAGTGCACGTGTAAGAAGAGGCGTGGGTGGCAAGTCCTTGATCCCCAGGTCTCGTTTCAGCAGTCTTATGGTTTGTACGCTTTGGAGGACACAGTTTACAAGGGCGTTTTTCCGATTTTCAATCCCATATTTGTTCTTATGTCCATTTGTTGCGGACACAAATACACGTTAAAAGTACTGAAGAGTAATGAATTCCGCTGCACAAAAGTATAAAACTTTTTTATTACACACGGCTGTATCGTATTTTTAAGATAAGATAAAAGCTGTAGTTCTTTTTATGACGCGTATAAATGTTTGTACGATGAGCTTTTTTGTGGTGAAGCTTTTATTTGAGATATTGAGTTGTTTTTGTTATGTACGTATCATAATTGGGCGCTGTGAACCAAAATTGATTCGCGCAATTTTTAGTGTGAAATTTAATCGTGATGCTGTAAGTGGCTTGTGAAAAGGGGGGGATTTAAACCTTATACCATTAGGCTGCCTGCCGGACTAAAAATTCGTGGTAGAGATAATATGCTGCTGCGACGAGATGCTGATACAGCATGCCTTTCGTTAGCTATAGTGTACGCAGTATATCAAGTATCCTACTCCATGGTACTGTGTCTTTAAACAGATTTTGTTATGAAATTCCCTGTTGTTGTGAAATCCGACGATGCGTCACCGACTTCAAAACACTCTGTTCCATTTGAATCCAGTCCACATTTTAACACCTCCGTTTATCTAATTTCCATTTTACGTTTATCCTCGCTTGGGCCTCCGCTGAGGTTTTCTGACCGCATCTGTGAGTACATCATTCTCATTTTTGGTGTCTGCTCAGACGCTTCCATGATATACTTTCATGTGCAGAGGTATACAAGGTACATCTTGTTTTCTTGGCGCACTGTGAAGCTGTTTGTTCACCAAGGCTACATTCAGAACACACGCACACAATACAATGCGCTGACGAGGAAATCCTACTCGACAGATTTCTATCAAATTTGTACACCTGTGCTCAAGAACAGGTGTTCTGATGGCGCTCAGCCGTGACGCACAATACAGGCTGTTTAAAAAAAATGTAATCATACGCGTAACCATACCAAAGTTTGCCCATTCTTTCCCAGTTCGGCTGGGGGCAGCAGAGGCGTGGGAACAGTGTACTAATAGTGAACAATGACGACACTTTCCATTACCCATTTTACTCAACTTGGTATTGATTCTGCTGGATTTTCTTTCCAAGTAGCTGGAATGTTAACCTATCTTTAAACACATCTTTGCTGTGTAGTATAATTGTAATAAGTCTGGAGGTACATTTAGAGAGACTGCTTTCTTGTTTTTAGCATATTTGACAAAACATTATCAACTAATAATAATAGGAATAATAGGAAGCGAGCAGTTTCCGATTGTTTCATGCAGGGACTGAGGGAACCCACGAAAGTCTGAGGATAGCCTATTTTCGGACAGAGATTCAAACTTGGGACCACCCAGCTAGGAAGGAGGAATGCCAGTCATTGTACTGCGATGCACTACGAGGAAATTTGACAGCCACAAAAAAATAATTGAAAGCCCACACCGATCCGTGGTCTTATTCTGATAGGTCCTATGTTTTCTTCGATTAGCTGCTGCTTACTCAGCTGGTAAAGAAATTGTTCTGTGGAACTGAAAGGTTCACCACACTGTCTGTTGTATCCCTAAGCAGGGAAATTCTGGGATGTTGCTTTAAAACAGCAGTATTACTATAAAACTAGGACAGTCTGTTATCTTAAAATATCTTTCTTCTACATGCTTGCGAATTCGTCAGTTATAATCATGCTGACATTCGATGACAGAAAAAACATACGCTCCACACTATAATATGGAATGTTATTAACTTTGTGTGTTTACGTCTTTGTGGGGCACGTTTATGTATACTTGAGAATAAGTCGTTAAACAAACCAATAAATATCAGAAATTAAACGAACTAATTTTGTTTTACAGTTCTAATTAGAGTGAGTTGGTAATTCACAAACAGGTAGTCCCCGTAATATTTATTTTTATGTCAGCCCTGGCATCTCGTGAGAATTGTGATTTTTTTCCCTTCAAATACTGAATTATTGGTTTGTGGAGAAATGCCAAACTAA